TGGGCGGAAACACTATGTCTATCCTGGATACTACCTGCTTGGGAAAATAAGTCCAGCTACAGTGTATCCCTCTACATGGGGAGCAGCGGGAATGGCAGGAGATCAATTGATAGTTCGATCAGCCTCAGCAAGGCTCACCAAGACATGTGCAATTCGCGCCAAGCTCTTGAGGCCAGAACAGAAAAGCATCAAGCCATTGTTTTGGGAGTCACTTATGACACCAGGGACAAGAAGCCCCGAAGATCGCTGGGAAGAAACAATTTGTGAGTACACCGCTAGGGCCCTTGAACCCGCTTGCACTTCTCAAGATAGAAGAAAGAGGAATGCCACAGAGGTGGACTACTCGATGGGACAAGCTTGGATGTCTCAGCCACAAAGACCGCGTCCCCACTGGAGGCAAAGGACTGAGATTCAAAACGATCAGGCCTTAGCAGAGAATACTTTGGGTACACCTATAACACTTGCTTCCACATCCATGACGGAGCCGGCTCAACTGGATGAGCCTTGGGACAAGTGCTGGGCAAGGATACAGAAGCACCATATTGATCGCCGCCACAGGCACATTGCCTGGCAAGTACTTCATGGCACCTTATCCTGTGGGGCTCTAGACGCTTATCGTAAGGTGGTCAACTCCACACAGCACCAAGAGGCTGTTGTCTCTGCAGTGCAAGGCGCAAAATGTGCGTTCTGCGAAGATCACCTACACACGATTTCTCACATGCTTGTGCATTGTCAAGTTGCCGCCCGAGTCTGGTCTTGGGCTGCTACGCTCTGGGCTTTGGCCACAGCAAATCCAGCTCCACTGATTTTACCTAGTCTCATACTGGTAGATGACCGCAGAGGTTGGGAAGTCTCAAAAGAGGCGGCAGAGCTCTGGACAGACATTAGAGTAATTGTCCTGGCAGGACTGTTCACAACCTCGGAACAAAGAAGGAAAGGTTTGCCAGTGACGACGTTCACGGTAGCAGCATATGTTGTGCACCATATTAGAGGCTATATCATTCGGGACTGGCAAAGGACAGTCCAGTCTGCTGATTCCAGTAATGTCAGTGCAAGACTAGCACAGGACATTTGTTGCACATCATGGCTCCGCGGCCGTAGCCCGCGCATGGACTTGACTGCCTTTATTAAGAAATGGGGTAAGACAAGTGCCTTCTGT